CATTAGACTTTATGATAAATGATAAGAGCAGGACAGTCGAATTCCATTAATAACCTGACTCGATTGAAACTTTTTAGAATGTATTAGTTGAATTAAATTGATCTGGAAGAAATTTATAAAGATGTATAAATTCAAGTTAATTCAATTAATAAATAAACTTTCTATTTAATTTAACTAAAGAATAAATTAATAAAACAAAAAACACATTGATTTTTTTGTAGAAGGGTTTGAATCATACTTACAATTTTATTATTGTCTTTTATATATCGATTATCGCTTAAAGCACTTATATGATGTGCAGATATAGTTTATCTACCAATGTTATTAATGTATTGGTGTATAATGCTACCGATTTAGGTCATGGATACATTATTCATTTCATTACTTGTTGATTTACGTAATATCATGTACGGAATTATTCTTGAGCACACATGTATTACTTAATTCAAAAACGGTCAACTTAATCCATTATGTCCTATTGGCAAGTGGCATTATCATTTTTAGAAACATCGCAGAACGTGTGATACTGAAAAAAACTCTTTACACATTGTGTATAGAAAATTCCTTAAGCTTTAATTAGCAAAAAAAGTAACGAATGACCCATAATAAATGGCCGCGTTTTCTATTTTATTTTTTCATCAAATAATAAGTTTTACTAAAAAGCAAAATATACCACAAGATGCAGCATGAAGAGCTCTATAATTTACATAAGATCGATTATTTTATAGGTGCCGTTTTTCCTCTCAAAATGGGCAAAATTCTGTGTGACCAATTTTCGTATGGTCGAAATTTGGTCACTCAAAATTTTGCCCATTTTGAAAACAATTGGAATAAGCCTTATTGTGTAAATTGTAGAGCTTTTTACGCTGCATCTGGTGGTGCTTTTTGCTTTGTAATAAAACTTATTGTTTGATAAAAAAATAAAATGGAAAACACGGCCATTTATTATAGATTACCTGTTATTTTGTACAGCTGCTCTGTCTTCAAGATGTATGGTTTATAAAAGGAACAACTAAAGAAGTTATTAGAAAACAAAAGGATCCTCCTTTTTCCTTTAACTTTTTTGTATTCACGAGCAATGTAACGGGTGGCTCATAAAGAATGAGAGTCTTTATATTTTCTCAATATCTCCTCTAGTGTCCATAGATTCTGACTGAAGTTTTTTTCACAACATTTGCCGTTTAATTCTCTACAAAGTCATACATAAATGGATGTAATAGAAATAGAATTTACTGTAGTAATACTTTGAACACACAATATCAACAATGTTCAAGCACAAAATACAGTTCTGTTGTATTTATGTGTTCTCAGGTCGAGCTCTATTGAAAAATAGTACTACAACTTGTCCATAGGTAACGCATTCACATTTTTTCAACTTTTAGTCCACATTTCTTCTGAACTATTCAGATATGGAGTCTCGCCATTCAGAGTGATTTCGATGTGCTTTAAGAATACGATGTTCTGAACAAAGAAATTTATTATTCTACGTAGAATGCAAAGTCTATTAGCTTAATGAATAATTGTTCATAAGTATCTTTTTACGACTGTAAACCCAACGGTAGTAAATTTAGCATTCCGATTTTGCTGTTAGAAAAAGCTATAATAGTAAAAGTTGACAAATATGGACATTAATGTTGGCAATTTTATATCTTCTTGCTACTAATATTAAGAAAAACTCAATTTTCTCACAAATCAAATCAAATCTGGCTACATAGGAATAGGTTCTTTTGAAGCTAAGAGAAGGTATATGTTTTGAGGTATACTTTAGTCATCTGTATTCAACAGGATATTTTTAACATGATTAACTTTACATTCAAACTAATAGCAGTTGTATGCTCAGTTTTTCATACTGATTACAAATGTCAAGTCATATTGTTGCTGTGGTGAACATAAGATATATAGTATCCTGATTGTGAACCAGGATGGATAGAAATAAACCTCACCCATCAATATTTCTGGTATGGACTAACTTTTGCTACCAGTGTTTTAGTTTTTTGAAGTCATGCCTTAAACGATGCAGCATTTGCAAGAGCTTTCATAAAAGATAAAAAAATCTTTTGGGATAGTAAGATTTCGTGTGACCAGAGCCGCAATACTAGAAAATCTTCGTTTAAGCCAATCATCATTTTATTCGTATATTGGCATTATTAATTGGCAAATGGTATTGTAGAAATTAATGAGTTACCCTATTTTGCAGAGAAAACATTTTGATATCTTTTGAGACGTCTTTAACCTCGAGCTAATAAAGTGACGCAGAGAAAGGTGTAAAATCTTAATAGCACTCTAAATAAAATCGATTTTTGACCAAAAATCAGGACTAGTGACACTGGTGTAAGTCGGTATTTTTCACAGACGCATCAAAAGGAGTTTATATTTAGGATTTAGAGTATTCTAATGTTGACTTATCGTTTAAGGTAATCAAATCGGAAAGCAAGATTTTAGCGGCGACTAGGTTGGTCGGCGTTTCCGATAATGATATTCATGATGAGCAGGATGATTGATCGAGCAAGTAGTAGAAGATAGATAACTTTAATAATGTTGTATTATCAATATGCAAATGTTGTTTTTCATTTTATATCTTAAACTTTCGATGCGGAGTCCTAAATAAAGCTAATAATTCATACTAAAAACAGAAGAGTTTTTAGTTGAGAAATATCAAATAAATTTTATCATCTGAATTTATTTTGTTGTTTGTATCAATTTTTCCTCTCATGAGTACATGTAAAAACAAAGTTTGACTGATCAATGACATATTAATGGTTGAAATAATATATGAGATTTCATCTTTTTCAATTCGATATCGATCTGTTCACGCGACAGTATACCTTGTTATCATCTAGAATGATGTCAGCAATATATAAAAATGTATATTATACTTACATAGTTACAGTTTTTCACAGAAAAAAAAATGCGACAAAATGTGCCGTTTTCGAAACTTTACAAGAAACTAACGAGAATCCGTGCATACTGCACGGCAGCGTTGTTTTCTTTAACGTACAACCTCAAAACTTTAACCTTTCACTCGGTAACAGACACACAAACATTCGACATTATGTACATAGAAGACCTACAGCGTAATACCCTTATATCGCTAATAGCCCATGTAGCCTTATCCTCAGTATCTTACCCCCCTTAAAGCGTCTCCGTCTTATAGCGTTCCTCCCTTATAGCCTTACCTCCTTATTGTCTTATCCTCTTATAGCCTTACCTTCTTAGAGCCCTATTTGACCTTTAACCTTTGAATCGGCACAGACAGACACACCCTGAACATTAGATATATAGATAACGAGACTTTTGACAGATTAACCAATTGTAACAAGAGAACTGCAGTTCGTCAGTTCTTCAGAAATTTATTTACATATGTGAAAATAATACGTTGGTGAAAGTGATTCTGTCATGAAAACCTTCTGTAATTCGTTTATTAGCCAGCAATAAGTTTTCTCTTCATTTGAACAGATGGCACTCTATGTATAATACTTTTGGCACTCTATCTTTTGGTTAGATTATCAATTTTTTTTAATTATTCTAACGGACCAGGAATATCGTGATGGAGTCACTGTCGAACTAATTAATATCTATCATAAAACACTGAGAGATCATTTTCCTTTCAAATTGTTGTCTTAAACAAATATGTGACTCCTGAAAACTAATTTTAGAGCCCTATTGCTTAATTGGAGAGTACTCATAGGATGGTTGATGGAGATTCATAACGATGCCTGATCTTGCCTAGCAGCGGACGGATCAACATTCATTGTAGCATTCCTAACTCAATATACTCGTTATTCAATATACGAAGAAAAAGATGCTTTAGATTTTCGACTCTATTTGTACTTTATGCTTTAAAATCAGGACCATTATGTTATTAGAAAAACGTTATAAACTAATTCTTTTAGTTGCCTCTCTTTATATAATAGTAGTTTTTTAATTGTGATAAATTACTTATGCAACTTTCCCAAGAAAAAAATTACATAGAAAATTGTTTCAGAAGCACATTCGTTGTAAAAAAAAAAGATTGTATTTTTCCGAAAATTAACAAGCTACTCATAAAAAATAAAATTTTTCTTATCGCTACTCCTCAATGGCAAATGGAGTTGTCAAATTATTTCGCATAATGGAAGTGTGCATAGTCGATCTTGTTACTATTGACCTACGCAAGAGATCAATACTCTATTGCAATACTTGTTTCCTTAGTGACTCTTCTGAAACCATTATTGGGAGTTAAGTTCAAACCAATTCATCAACTTAGTTGCATTGAAGAATTTCATGAATAAAGATATATGCTGATCGGCTAAGTCATCGCTGTTGTGGACCCAAGCCAGTTTCTGAAGATGTTACCATCTGGTGTCATATCAATAAGTTCTCTTCCATAGTTTTATTTCTTTTTCATTTCAAAATTTCTTGAAATGAAGAAAACTTTTAAAGAATATATGGAATATATCCAGCCGTCGTGACTCGAGTTTCAAATATTTCTACTCGCCATCACAGAAGCCTGAAACTACTATTGTCACCATCGATCAACGGATCCGCTTACCTCTCTATTCATGAATTTAATTGAGTTCAGTTGTCCGATTGTGCTTGTCCAATATAGTACATTATCAAAAACAAGATCACAACTTCATGCTTGTTTATTTGTTTAACATAAGAGAAAATACAACACGATTTATCAGCTAAAATGCATCTAATACATGGGTAAAAATCTTAATTAAACAGTGAGCACAAATCTAGATAGTGAGGAATGTTACCAAACATATTAATGATGAAGACAAACAAACCGAATTTCTTTTCAAAAAAAAAGGAAGATGTTTGCGTTCGTTGTTTTACATCTATCTTCCTCTTACGTTATTCTTTTATGTCAAACTGAAAAATAAATACACTTAGAATCAACAAAAATCAAAATACAGAGAAAGTATCTGTATCATCATCACCATCAAGATCTGAGAAAACAAACAAAAGAAAATGAAACCTATCAAACAATGAAAGCATAACAAGACAGTTTTATTTTAAAGTTCATCATCAAAATGATCATTTTTTGTTGATTGTGAACGTGTATTGGAATTGTCATCTCGTGTTGATGACAGTGGTTCAGATGATTGACGTATATATACACCTGAATCAACTTTCCAAAGATTTTGACTATTGGCATATGAATAACAACTGATTTCTTTTTGACCATGAATTGGTCGACCATATGTATCACCACTTAGATGAAGATATCTAGAGAAATAAAAAATTTCGGAAGTTAAAATCTATTCTGTTTTGGAAGAGTGATATAGAATTCAACAATAAATATGTAACAAATCACCATTATATAAATAAACACAATAGAATTAAAGTTCTGATTGGTAATATCTGTTTACTGCAAGAGGAGTTGAATTATTAATACTACTAAAGCGTTTCATAATAGAAGGGGCTTGTAGGAATTCTAATAATTCGTAAACTTGAAGAGATATTGCAAGACAGTTTTCATTAATCTTTGGTCAAGTTCGAAGCACATCCAACGGTAGTAGAACAAATTTTTTTAGTTGGTTATCTTGAAGATTTTCAAGTTTCAATACATATTCGACAGAGAAAATCGTTCTGTGTTGAACTGAACACGTCCGAAATTTTGGTTAGTGAATCATAAGTTATATAGAAATAGGTCTAGAGAGGGCTCCATGAACTACACTAATGAGGGAATCTCTCCAGTTGTTTCTTTCCGATTTTAATGATTTTTTGCCTACAGATATTGCATAGTCTTCTAATAAAAACTCTAAAAGGATTCGGGTTTCTATTAATACACAAAGTTTTATATCATAATTCGAAAATACAATTTGTTCAAAGAGCGGAGGCTACTAGACAATACACATATTGAAAATTCGATAGCTTAGTCAAATCTACATAGAAACGCAAATCCTCTAAGAGTTTTCATTAGAACACTGTAGTATCTGTAGGCAAAAAACAACATTGAAATTGAACAGAAGTATCTGAAAAAGTTCCCTAGTATGTCTATTAGTTATATTTATTTTCAGTTTTAAAACGATTCCCAACTATTAGATGAATATAACAGTTGTGAATCGTTTTGAAACTGAAAGTAACGTTTTTTTTTTCTTATATGTTATCTCATAAGGGAAGCATCTTCTTGAGCTGAGACTTTCACAGGATGAAAATTTCTTGTTGCGATTTTGTTGTGATATTGTGAAAAATACTGAAGGTTCAATCAAATAACGTCGCGAATTCTTTTAGAACTTTTATCAACACTATGAAGTGAAACAGAGATTATTAGTCGAATAAGTTTTCTTGTCAGTTGATATGATACTGAAAAGTATCTGAAGAAAAATGTAGTCTTCATTTTAATGTCAATTGAATAAAAAACATAATTATTGAAATTACCTGATTTTAATTACAATACAAGAATATATACTTATTTTCTTGGATAACGAAAACAATCTTCTACAACATAACTTCTATTCACTCACTAATTTCTAATAATTGATCATTCATATATTTTTAAATAAATGCTTTCCTCTTCACTATTAATTTTTATCTCTCAGATCAAAAAATATCTTTCATTCTTACTTTCCAGTAGCAACATGTTGCAAACGAATAGGATCTGCTCTTAACCAATAATCATTTTTAGTTGTACAAACAACTTTCCATCGATCACCTTCATCACCAACACCATCTTCACCATAAGCTGATACTTCTTGATTATTTGATAATGGTGATGCATAATTATGACTGTGTAAATTTCTTCGAGTAGTTACATGAAATAAACGTATTATAGTATCACATTTTATTGGTGCTCTATTTGAAAAAAAAACATAAAAATTACTCAATAAATAAAAGAATTTGTTTTTTTTTTATTTAATTACCCTCGTTCACAATCATTTTTTATATCTCCACGAATTTGCCAATAACTATTCACATCATCAGCATTCGGAGTACCAGTAACAGACTAAAATATAAATTTATAAATAAAATTTTCAATGTAAATATTAATTTACTTGTTGTCCACTACCCGAACCATATTTAACATCATGAGAATGAAGTCTATCTCCAGATTGTTGATTAACTAATTTAAATGTTGAACCACATGTTATAGCATCTTTATTACATGAAGAAAAATTGAATAGAAAGATTAATATTGTACATTGAATCAAGATATTCATGTTCAACATTATACGATTGTCATAAAACAAAAAAAAGAACCAAGGAGTAATACTTCTGTGGAAATCATCGATTGGTTCATAAAATTTGTTCAATGAAAAATTATTCATTGCCCTCACTAACAATTAATATATAATTCAAATTAAATAAACTTTTATTTTATTTTTTTTTAAAATAAAATATTAAAACTATATATGTTTAGCCATCTATCACAGAAAATAATTTTATTTTTCATAAGTACAAATTCTCCAATGAAATAATGCATGTATTTTATCATTACATATTTGCCACATAAATCAATAACTGATTTTTTTCTCACAAGATGGGTCGGTGCTTTTCAATGATTTCGATTGTACTTATAAGTTTCGTTTTATTTGCCTTAGCTAAAGGTAAAAATAATTTTTTTTCTTTTGTTCATATACTTAATAATTTATTTTTAAATAAGGTGAAACTTGTGAATCGCCACAATTTCAAGTTAGTTCATATTCAACAAAAGATGCTCGTCTTACAGCTGAATCAGCAGCCGAACTTGAAATAATAGTTAAATGCAAAAGTGGAAAACAAGTTTGTAATCTTATTTGATTTTCTTTAAAAAATATAGATATATATATATATTTATTTTTAGCCAAATACTCTTTATGCTGATATTTATGGACAAATTGTTCCTTGTGCTCAATCAGTTTCATCACCAGGAAAATATTATGTATGAAATCAATTAATTAAATATGAAAGCGAGAAAATCAGTTTCTGTTTGATTTATAGGTTAGTGCAGCAACTGCTACTCATAAACAATTAGCTAAAGGTACAACAGTAGTTAAATTATATGATGATGAATCATATTCAGCTTTACGTAAAGTAAGTTATTTCATAAAGAATAGATTAGATGAATATAAAATTCATGTATAGGCTCGAACGGATGATGCTGTTAAAGCAGTTAAACCATTTGGTGCAGTTGAACTCAATCATCCGGTAATGAAAAAAATGTTAATGTTATTTGTTAGAACTTTTGTGTTTTTTATATATATAGGGTGCAAGTTATGGTCCATGGTTACCGAGTGAATTTTTTGCTGTTATTATTTTTGGACTTATTTGGTGGGCTGCATATCGCGAACGATCGAAAATACTTACATAAACATTCTAAATTAGAACTTTTTTTTCATGTGTTAATCGTTGTGTTTCTTTTATTATTGTTCGTTCGTTTTCCTTCTAGACAAAGATTCTATTCATAAGATTAATAGTTTATTTGTTTTATTTGTTTGAGATTTCCGATAAAGATAAAAAGAAACATTCTATTGAATTATAGTAAAACATAAATCAAGACATTATGTTATACTGATTCAAATGTAAAAGATGTTATATCAACTTCGTAGAGTAGAAACTCGAAGTATTTAATTAAACAAAAACGTCATAAATTCAATGTTTTTAGATAAGTTCTATCATCAGAACGATTGAATTAGAGTCCTGGAAAATCAGGATTCTGAGTTAGGAAGCTCCGTCACTGCTGCAAATCGAACTATTTGACTCCGAATGAATCCGAAATTGTTTTTTTTTTTACTTGAATTTTTGTGCTACTTGCAAATGAGAACGTCGTTCAATATTTGACTGGTATAATTCCAAAAAAAAAATTCTTCACGATCATTACTATGCTTCGGAGTTCAATGCAGAGCTACTAAGAGAGATTCTGTGATATTCTTCAAGGTACATAATGTGTTCGATTACATAGAATTTATACAGAAACAAGGTACCACCTTATATGTTTTTCGCTGAATTTTTAGATGTTTCATTGTATATTTCGAGATTAAGATTATTGAAAATCTTGGTTTTTTTTAGATGGATGCAAGTCGTAAAGCATTATTTCAATCTCCACATGTGCCAACTGTTGAACCAACAATGGCAACAACAACAACAAATAACAATGCAATGATATTAAATACAATTGAATTGGAAAATGCAACACAATTTTATCGTTCAGAAACCGAAAAAGAATTACATTCTCAACATTTACAAAAAATACGAGAAAATATTCAATCATTAACAGCTGATGCATGGCTTTATCAGGATCCAGATAAATTAATTGGTTTTCAACGTGTAACAACGCATTAAAAATAAAAAGAAAATATCTTGTCTTTTTTTTTTTCTCTTTTCTTCACTGTTTGTTATAAATAAAATATTTGATGACATTTTCTTTTACAGATAGAAGAAGAAAAATGAATTTATACAAATTAAATGATATTCTTCCACATATTAATGATAAAAATTCATGTTTGGAATATAAATGTCAAACAATCCTTGTACCATTACCACCTAGTCAAATAGGAAAACCTAAAACAAATATTAAACGAATACTTGAAGAAAGTTCAAATGAAATAACTAAAAAGTATATTTATATATATATATATATATATATGAAAATTATTTTATAAAATTTTTAATTTTTTAAATATTTTAGATTAAATGGATTTTTACTTGCTATTGGTAAAATTCATTTATTATCTGATGTTGGTCAAACATTTCAAGATGAACCAACATTATGGGTACCTGTTAGACTTAATTTTGTTATATTTGTGCCTGAACGAGGTAGACGTGTTCGTGCTATTGTATCAAAACTTGGAAAAAAACATATTGGTAAAAAATTTTATATGAAAAGAAAAATACTTTTATTGTTTGTTTTTTTTTTTTTTTATATTTAATTATTGAATATTTTTAGCTTGTTTGATACACAGTCGTTTCAATGCATCATTTCATCGTGATACAATACCACCTGTTTATCATAATTTTATATTTAAATTAGGACAGCCTGTTCTACTTGAAATAATTGAATGTGATGTTGTAGACAAAATTCTTGATATTAAAACAACCCTTGTGGAAGTAAAAAAAGAAATAAAAAAAGAATAATGTTTGTGATTTTGTTTTTTTTTATATGTATGAATTTTAAAGTTTGATGCATGATTTCGAAAGATAAATGACATTATTCATCTTGCAAATGAATGAATGGGATAATTGAAGAAATGCATGAGTTATATCTATTTCAGCTTGCTTGGTTTCGTTTTCAGAAGCCCAACTTCATTTTCTTAAATAAAATCCTGAAAAATATTTCAACAACTGAAAATTCTCTGGAGGATATTTTTTTAGGAAATGTGGACAAGGGTAGTGATCAATAATTTAGGCAGAAACATTCTTATTTTACTAGAATCATCGATATACTGAATGACTTTTTCGGATCGTTAAACAAAATTTCTCATATCAATGAGGCTAATATACAGGTAAATAGGTTCCTAAAGAAAGCACATATACGTAATAGATGTAAATATAAATAACTGTCGAGCAGTAGAGCGTCAAATAAAATTTTATTTCTACGTTTCTTTGCATACGAGACATTTATCAGATATTATTATTCTAATTATAAACGTTAAAATTCAAGGTTACTATAGATAGTTTCATAACAATCTTTTATCATCAGACCAGTTAACCTTATCCTTATAGTTATTCTTATACCATAATAGGAGGTATGTAGTGACATCGCATTTGTTGTTTTTCTTTCTTAAGTAGTTTCATCGAGGTAGCTGTATACAGCATAAAATAAACATGAGAATTGTTTTTATAATATATTGTCTTTGATCAAAAGAGTTAATGAGACATTGAACATTGTCATTGTTTTGTTTTAGAAACCATATTCAAGAACATTTTTATTTACACATACGAAATGAACATCTTGAAAAAATAACTGATACAATTCAACCATTTATATAATAAGTTACATTAATGGATCTGGCAAAATGCAAATAGTATGTTTCGTTTGAAAAATTTTATCACGACTATTAGAAATATGAAATAAAAAGTATGTTAGTTGTTTTTAGATTATAAGAAATGTATGATAATCGAGCAAAAAACAAATGAAAATATTCAATGGCATTTTCAACATTGATATTAAGAAAAATGATTATCAAATCAACTGTTTTTCTAATTCTAATAAATTTAATGATTATAAAAAGTAAATAAAATTATATTATTTTTATAGTATTTATTTCGTTTTTTTGGTTCTTTTTAGATACGCATGGATATTTAGGATGTCCTGATAATTTAGTACCTTGTTTAAATAAAACACATTGCATAAATGTTGACGACGTTTGTATTGGTCCAAATAATTGCGTCGATGAGCAAGGAAAGAGTATTTGTTAGTATCTTTTTTTGTGTACAATTTTATTTTTATGATTGAAGTATTTTGCTTCAGGCCAGTATTGTCCAAAAGGTGAAACTGACTTAATAGCCTGTGTAACTCATATTGAAACTGAGCTTTCATTTGAATGTTTATCTCCTCATCAAATATGTGATACTAAAAAAGATTGCCATAATAATGAAGATGAACATTCATGTGGTTAGTTGAACTCATTAAATTAAAAATGTAAATGATAATAATTTTTTTAATTCCAGGTATAAAAAAATGTCAATTTGGTTTTTCGTTATGTGCAAATGGTAGTTGTATTGAAACGAGTCATTTTTGCGATGGAAAAATAGATTGTGCAGATGGACATGATGAACGTCATTGTTCACATTTATCAGCAAGTGAGGAAAATTTTTTCGAGTATTTCAAAGAGAATGAACTTGTTAGTATTTCAATAGCCTTTCTTTTAGTATTCATTTATTCAAACTTTTTTCAATAGAATTTATCATTGAATTCTGTAAAATTTTGTTAAATTAAAAAGAAAATTCACTATTTTCAAGAATACACTCCTAATTAGTAAGCCAAGATAAATACTTTTTTGTAAATGAATCTTGAAGTTTTTTGACTACAAATTTCAATATTAAATCAACGTGTACTATTCGAAATTCAATGTTTCTTGTTGATGAAAAGAGAGAAAGTTGTTCTATTATGACAAGTGAATCATATGATGTTTCACAATGTTCTGATGAAGTTTTCAATTTGATACTAATAGTCATTTTTGACCATGAGAGATCAGATCACGCTCAGTAAGTTATCTTTTACAAGTTCTAAAATATCGAAATAAAACCTTCGAAATATATTGTAAATATCATCGACACAGTGTGAAATCTCACAGAACAACTTTTTCTTTTCATCAACAAGACATATTTGACCATCAGATAATCCATATTTATTTAATATTGAATTGTGTAATGATTGATATTTACTTGGCGAAAATGATATAGAATTGAATGACGCATTTTATTGAAAAATTCTAAACCAATGTGTGTTAAAACAAATACTATTGAAATACTAAGAAACCTTATTCTATATGAAAACTTCAATATTTTATTTTCATCTATATTCTTAGTACGCAATTCTGATTCATTATTATCATCAAAGTTATTTATTTGTTCAGCGTCATCAACACTTATAGATACGAGACTTATATCATATGATTATTTTTGTGATGGATAGTAAGTAAAAACAAGATCAAGATTAGTTCTATATAAAAATTTATTAATAATTAAATTTTATAGTAAAGATTGTCCTCTGGGTGATGATGAAAAAGATTGTACTGATGAATGTACTTCATCATCTCAATGTATTCCGAATGCTAATGTGACTTGTATTCAACATCGTGCAGTTGGTAAACTTTGTCGATGTCAAAAACAAGGTTATCGATTAACAAATAATTCATTACAAATTAATACGCAAATATGTCAAGGTTTGTTTTCGAATTTTCTATTGTTTTTTATTTATATGATAAATAATCATTCGTTAAATTAGATTTTAATGAATGTAATGATTCTCTTCGTACATATTGTTCATTTAATTGTTTAAATACAGATGGCAGTTTTAACTGTACATGTCCATTAGGTTTTACTATTGATGAAAAGACAAAAACATGTCGAAAAATAAATGGTTTGATTATTTTGTCTTGTTTTTTTTTTTGAAAATTCCTTTTTTTTTCTCTGACAAATTTTTTAATAGATCAATCCAAACCAGATTTATTAATTGTATTTGATAATAATATTATTTTCTACAATATTTCGAATGCTACTGATCGTTATTCATCAAAATTATTACATACAATTGATATTGAAAAAAATCATCATTTGGATTGTATACAATATGATTCAAATAAAAAATTTATTATCTATTATAATCAAAAACAAAATGCTATTTTATGGTTCATTTCTTTCTATCTTGTTTTTTTTATAATTCAATATAAATATTTTTATTTCTTAGTTTTAGTACATCAAATACAATTTTCAAACCTATAATTCTTATTTCTAATGTCACTGTACATGGTTTATCATACAATGAAAATGAAAAAACTTTATTTATTATTGAAAATCAATCACAAACATTACGAATGTATACACCGATTACTTGTGATATTTCAATTAGTATCAAAATGCATTCATGGCAATTGAATAACATTGCAAATTCGATACAATCAATCGAAATTGATGCTTTCAATAGACAAATTATTTTTGCTTCTCATTATGAATTTTTGATATCAAATATGTCCAAACCAAATTCAACGAAAGTTTTATATACAACCGACCGTGAAATAAAAAGATTTATTTATGGTATGAAAATATTTATTAAGACAAATGAAAATAAAGAAGAATAGATAATATTCGATTGTTTTAAATAATTAACTTAAAGTTTTGAAACTATTTGTTTTAACTATTAAGTGTCCTTCTCTGTTATCTAGAGATATGCAGCGTTATTCTACCCTACACGTTAGAGTAGGAGGTTAGAAAATTTCTCTCAGCTAGGATATAATGTACAAAAAAAGCTTACCCTGGACATTTCTAACGTGATACTATTTTGCTATTTATCACTTTGAGTCTTTCAACCAAAATACGAATCAGTAAGAGTAAGATAATAGCTTCTTAGAGTAAAGATTAGACAATTTTTTTCACAAGAGAATCCATTCGATGAATAGTTGCTGTTTCACCTCATACATAGGACTCATAGTGTAAATTATAATTCGGAAAGGGTTCATGCTATTAAGCCTTTCTCCTTGAGTCTTGATCATTTTACTGAACTTTCATCCTATCATAAAATATTATGAGAAAAATCGTAATGTACAGTTTCGCTTTGAAATTCTTCCCTGAAAGTAGCTCTTATAATATCCTGAACATTTCAGCTTAAGCGGATGATTTCTTCTTAAGATATCGTATAATTTAAAATTGGACTAGTATTCAAAATCTTGTGTGAAAGTGACAAGTGATCTCAGAAAAGAAACATCCCTCTGAATTGAAACTTTCAGGATATCATAAGGATCATGAGAGCTATCGTTCACTGCACATCTTTACTTTAATCTTAATAGCAAACTCAAAAAAAAAAACTATTTTCTTTTTTTGTATTAGATGCTTCATTCAAACGCATCTTTTGGACAGTAGCCGGTATCAATAATAATAATGAATTTCCTGTTTATACCTGTGATGGTGAATTTAAACGATGTCATGATACATCAATACGTTTACCGTTCGCATGGCCATTTACATTTCTTAATGTATGTATTTTTCTTTTATTATTTATTTCAAAGAAATTGTTTTGTTTAAATGGACAATTTAGGATGGTTTACTCTATTCATCTTCATCATTAAAATCTTTAGATATGATTCAACTTTATGGAAATGATCGTTTTTCTAACTATTTTATAACATCAACACGAGAAAATATTCGTTCATTTTTACTTATTGATTATCAATCAATTGCATTAGTAAATCTCTGTATGAATTATTCAACAATACGTTGTAAAAATAAAGTTTGTTTACAAATAAATTCAACAGAAATAAATTGTTTATCAATTGATGAAAATATTATAACAAAAGAATTAATAATATCAACAACAAATACAAAGAATTCAACTCTACAAAATGAAACAGAATCATTAATATATGATAATCTGATTTCTGAAGGAGCAAATCGACGAAAACATTATCGATATAGACCATCGAATACTATGCTTTTTTGTATTATTATTTTTGGTGTTTTAGCAGGCGTAAGTTAAATTCTTTAATATAATACTTTATTCATTTTTTTTGTATTTTTTAATAAGATATTGGCACTTTTTGCTAAATATTGTCAAGTCTACCTTAATAAAAAAGCATTATCTAACGTACAAAATAATAATGAACAGTATTTATCAACAGAACAGCCAAATTTAGATGAATTTACTGTAACATTCAGTGAACAAATGTCTGAACAATCTGCTGCTGATAATGTATGTAATATTCTTATTGATAACGATACTGTTCGTTTCGTTCAACGTCGAAGAGATTCTGTTTGATATTAATTTTATTTTTTTTTTATAGACTGGTGACCGATTGCCACTAACCAATTACTTACATTATTAGTTCCATAGGAAAAATCACTATCTTACTAACAAAAAACAAAAAATGTAGTTTGAACTATTTTTAACATCGGGAATATTTCATCGTTTTTATTTTGTTAATTGGGCATTCCATAGGTGATTGTTTTCTTTCTCAAATCCTTCCTCTTTCATATCATTTTTCCTATTCAAAAGCATGTCTTTCCTTATGGTGCTTCATTTTTTTTAATCTGCTTTTATTATAGCTCAAGAACCTGGTTTATGTTTACCATGACAATAAGCTATACCTTCCTTTTTTTGGTTTTGATGAGTTTGTTGTTCAAATTTTAAAATAAAATTTTTAGCTCTTATGATGCGGTATATAACTTAAGGCATAGAAACAATTATTTTGTATTTAAGAAAATGAATAGATGAAGCTTTCACATCAAATCACAAGACTGATGTTTGATAGCACAATAAACACTATGAACAATGCTTTTCGTAAATATGGGTAACAGTGAAAGCCAATAAACAAATTCATCTTATCATCAATTTGATTCATCGTTTCAGAAATATATTGCTTCAGAATATTACTTCTAGATACTTAATAGAACATAGTATCACGTTTTTTTTCCATTGATTATTATAAATTGCGGCATGTATTGACAAGAAAAGACACCACTAGAGATCGTTGAGTTTGTTCCAGACGGACTCGAATTCTTTGAAAAATATGTAGGGTGCTCTAGTCGCCGATCACAAAAAAAAGAAAAATAATCTCGTATCTTCAAGGAAACCATTCAATTTCGATTAGAAAATTATTGATCCGATGGGGTTTATGGACGAGAAAACAAAATTAATGATTTTTCTTTTTTATTTAGAAAAAGCTTTATTTGTTAAGAATTTTTTTAGTATTCGTTTTTCTTTGCCTTGCTCATACAAGAATATTCAAAGTTGAATTCTTTTGTGAAAGTTCCATGATGTATCGTTTTCCTTCAATACCAATTTGATTTCCTTTAAGGTTTAGCATCGTCAAAGTCTAATATAGCCAATAAATATTGAAATGAATGGAATTGAATAAGAACTTAGATTACTTTGTTTTGTTGTAGAGCATTAACAAGATATTGTACTCCTTGTGTTCCAATATCATTATCTTCAAGATCAAGTGTAGTAAGAGTCTAAAATAATGAACAAGTAGATATTATCAGTGAAAGAAGAATTATTACTTTGTTTTGTTGTAAAGCATTGGCAAGATTTTGAGCTCCTTTTGCTGTAATTCTATTGCTTGCAAGGTTAAGTGTCTTAAGAGTCTAAAAAAATAAATAAGTTAAATGGTAGAATAAAAGAAATTAGATTACTTGATTTTGCTGTAAAGAATTAGCTAGATAACTTGTTCCTAAATTACTGATCATATTGGATCGAAGATTTATTGTAGTGAGTTTCTGAATTATTTGATTAATTCATGAAATAATAGAATTCAAAAAACTAGAATTACTCGATTTTGTTGTAATGCATTAGCAAGATGTTGTATTCCTTGTGGTCTAATTTGATTCGAACGAAGATTAAGTGTACTCAATGTCTAATATAATTAATGAAATAATGATAATATAAAAGAAACAAAAAGCAAGAATTGTATTACTTTATTTTGTAGCAAAGTATTAGCAAAATACTGTGCTCCTTGATCACTAATTCGATTATTTTCAAGACTTATTGTTGTCAGTGTCTAAAGTAATGAATAAATGATGAAGTAAATGAAAGAAATACCAAGATTACTGTGTTTTCTTTTAAAGCGTTAGCAAGACTTTGTGCTCCTTGGGGTCCAATAAGATTGTGTTCTAGATCTAATGTATTTAGCGTCTAAAAACATATGTAAGCATGCAAAAGGAAGAAGAAAATAGACAATCGATATTACTTTGTTTTGTTGGAGTGCGTAGGCAAGAGCTTTTGCTTCTTGATCACCAATTTGAATTCGTGAAAGATCTAGAGTGATCAATTTCTATGTAAAACAATAGAAAAAATGAATAAATAATAGAAAGCACAACAAGGAAAATAATAATATTCATAAATAAATTAATAGATAAAATTTATAGATTTTGTTTTATATTTACTACTGTTTCTGATTGTTTCTACCCATGTGAATTGACAGAAAAAAAACGTATTCCGGTTGTTTTCAGGTTGTACTGTTCTCTCGATCGATGACATGAATCCTTTAGAATTCATATTTACTATTGTGTCAATTATGATTCTATAAATATACTAAATTAAATAATTACCGGATCTGCGAGTAACGATTCAACCGATTTTTGTACTTTGGGATTAATGCGTTGAAGCAATACATTTATTTGTTTTGGTTTTGCAAGTTCAATTGATGATTTTTGCATAGGCTCTATAACACTCACTCTTTTCTTTAAATACTCAGTTGAAGTTTTTTTGAGTGGTGGAGAGACAGATAATGATTGTGGAGGGCGTAACGTAAGAGATTTTCTGAAATTATTATTCGTCATAGTCTTTGCAACTCGTCGAACAGGAGCAATCACTTGATGTGTTGGTTGAACTTCCTTCAAGTGAATAATGTGTAATCCATTGCCTGCATCGAAACAACCTGTTACTTGAAATCGACAAGCACAAGGCAATAACACTTCTTGTTCTTTAGGATAAAACGAATGTTTGCAAATTTTTTTACCAGATTTACTATCAATAATAAATAATGTTCTTGCTCCATTTTGACCCAAAATATATTCATTATTGAGGACATCAAGAGACATTGTACATAATGTAAAACCCCACCATACAAATGTTCTTCCCACAGGATATTGTGCCATTAAATTCAATTTTACAGCATGATAAATAGTAAGACGAGTAGAATCTGTTGGAAGTTTATTTAAAGCAGTCATCATTAATTTAAGATAACGAAACCATAGTTTCAATAACGTTTGATTTTTTGTTTCTAATGTAGTATTAAGAATGACATGAAATGATTTGTCTATTGGCTTCCATTTTATCGTATATAGTAAAATTGAACTTGATTCATCATTTGTTAAAGTATTTTTTGTTATATTAGAATTTTTTTTCACTGTCGAAATCATCTCTTCTAGTTCTGGGACAAATGGAACGAGTGGATAGACAGCTTCTTCCAAAGAAACAAGTGGAATGTTGTTATCCTCTTCGATAAGGTAAAGCATTCTTGATAATTCAACTGTCGTATCAGAAACATTAGAAGAATCTATGAAATTATCCCTATATTTAGCAGCCATATTCAAATCAAATCTTAAATCAAAATATTTTTTATTTTTAACATCTAACTAAATCGAAAACAATTGAACATTGTTAATGTCTATTTTTTTACGAGAGTGTATTAGAATGAAAATTATTTTCAATGTGTGTTTCTGAATGTGATTACAATAAACACAAAAAGATAAAACATTAATTCCATTATTACTACATCAAGTCTTATTCATTAATATTTTTAACAACCAAATTAATGAATAGGACAAAAATGTTATGGTTTCTTAATAATTGATGATCGGGAAAATTCTAGAAAATATATTTCTTTACTTTTGACCGTTTAGAAAATACTTTCGATGAGTTACGATCAAAATTTTGTACTCTTTTCGAATGTGGACTTAAAAATTTCATCTCAGTTTATGTTTGAGAGTAGTGAAATAATCTTCGCAAAGTCTAAAAAAAAATAGATTCGACGAGAATTTTTTTATTTTCACTATTACGATCAGAAACTACCGTATGAAATGCACTATTTGAAATATTTTTTGTTTTTCGAAAAAACACTTTAATTTTCGTTTTTCCGAAATATTCATTTTTGGAAAATCGACAACTTTTTTACGTGAAAAGGAGCTCTTCAAAAAATGATTGAATGTAAGTTACAGCTTAGTTCAATATCACATTGTATAGACAAAATGTTCGCTTTACAATATGACTGACTCCGAAAATCTTTTGACTTGTTCGAACGGAACTTACAAAGTAATAAAAGCCCTTTTGATTCACCATTAAAATAATTTTTCAGATCTTTCAAAATAGTCCCTAATTACTCTTGAAAAAAATAGAACATTTCGAAGCACAAAATTTTGATCACAATCTATAGCTTTTGACTCTTAGAAAAAACTTTCTAGTAAGTTAAAAATAAATAAAAAATTTTGTCTAAAAACTTCTCAATCACCTACTATTGTCGGAGGCAATATCATCTGAAATTTTACAAGTATTTTGAAATATGCTAGCTCAATGATATATCGTGGCTTTAATGAATTTGTTCAAATTCTCTCTATGAAATATATATAGAGACAATATGAGCCAATAGTTTGATAACAGATGGACTTCTAAATCAATCATAAAAAAAATAAACAGAATATGGTAGATTGCCTTAGGAAAAATGAACCCGACAAAATCCAAAAAAAATTGGTAACATTATTTTCAATGAAAACATTTCATATGAAAAGATTTGGTTTTAAGTCCTTACTAACAGACGATAATAATAATACAAAATAAAAGTTCTTACATTGCTGTATACTGAAGAGATAAAAATGACTGCTGACTCTTCACAAGTAAAGAATGAAAGCTCTTTTTTCTTATCTCCACACAACATGATATTTATCTCCGACAAACTCTCAAGGTCACAAATGAAAAATAAGTACTAAAACTAGTTTAGTTCTTTCTTTAAGTTTCAAATAAGTAATCTACAGAAGTTTGAATGATTAATAACATAGTTATATATGCTATTGATTCTTTACACTCATATGTCTTTACAATCGAAGAATTATTAAATATAATAAGCACAGACTTGTGCGGTAAACAATGTTGACTCTGTTTTAAAGGGCGATGATGAGAAAAATAAACACTTTGGAATTCTAAAATCATTGTTGTGTTTTTTCTATGAATATTATATACATTCAAATTATAACGATTATAGCATTCATTCTAGATATGATTATATCTACTAACAATTTTTTTCAAATATTATTCAAAACGTA